TAGCATACTAGAAACACCAAAAAGCAGGTGAAAGTGCAACACATGACACCTTGAGTCCTCAAGGGAATGTTACCACAAAGAGAGAGGAACTGGCCAGGAATCTAACTGCAAAGACACAGAAGAGCTTTCATATCAGAATTCATGATTGCCATGATAAAGAGAGTCAAAGAAATGGAGGGCTTTGAATTATTGTTTTTGTGTCCTTTGGGTAGATACCTAGGGGAAGAATTGCAGGAGCATATGGAAGCTCCATGTTTTGCAGTTTGAGAAGCCTCCACACAGCTTTCCACAGTGGTTGCACCAGTTTGCATTCCCACCAGCAGTGCAGAGAGTTCCTTTTTCTCCACACCCTCGCTAAACATTTATTGTTGCTTGTTTTTTTAATATGTGCCATTCTCACTGCTGTGAGGTGGTATCTCATTGTGATTTTGATTTGCATCTCCCTTATTACAAGTGATGCTGAACATTTTTTCATATGCCTGTTGGCCATCCTACATTTCCTTTTTTGGAGAAGAGTCTTTGAAGCTCTTCTGCCCATTTTTTGAGGGAGTTGTTCACTTTATATTTGTTGAGTTTTGTCAACTCTTTCTATATCTTTGCAATCAGTCCTTTATCATTCATATTATGTGCAAAAATTTTCTCCTAGTCAATGGGGTGTCTGTTTGTTTTATATTATGTCTCTTTTGTTATAGAAGCTTTTCAATTTGATGTAGTCTCAGCTGTTTATCTTCTCTTTCAGTACCTTGCTTTGGGTAATGTATCTTTAAAGATGTTATTGAGGTGTATGTTGTGTAGTGTTTCATTAATATTTTCTTCTATATATTTAATGGTTTCAGGTCTTATGTTTAGGTCTTTAATCCATTTTGATGTCTGTCATTTTTGTTGAATTCCAAGACAGTGTAAATATCTTTTCTGTGAGAGTCTCAAATGCTTCCTTTTCTCTCTGCATTGCTTTTTATCCCTGAAAACATACTATGAACAAGGAGTTGTTTAAGTAGATCTGCTTAAGCTAATCAAGAAGTAGGTGATAAGTATCATCCAAATGACAAGGTTGGGATTGGGGTGGTGTGGTTTCTCCAAAGCAAAATCTGGGTAGTTTTGATAGCAATAGAGAAAATAAAAGTCTATAAAGGAAACCAAAAATACTCAGTCAGACTTTGTCTTACAGGGTTGCTGTGTCTGTCAGAAGCAATGGATACAAAAATGTTCCATATAGTTTCTGGCACATAGTGGGTACTCAATAAATTGCAATGAGCATTATTGTCAACATCCTCCTCATCAAGTCCACTTATAGGGAGTTTAAGGCATCAGTCTAAATGGTCTTAAAGCATAGAATGTTAGAGAAGGGATACGAAAGGTAATCTAGTCCAATTTTGTCATTTTATGTTTTGGGACTGCACACTGTAGAGTTTGAAGGACTTCTCTAAAATCATGCATCTGGCAGCCCCTTCACCAGTCCTCTCATGTCTTCTCTTTTCAGTCTTATACACCATAGAAACTAAAAAAAATATCAGGATAAAACTCTCCCAATGTCATAGTTTTAATTACCATCTCTCAGACCATAATTCCTGGAAGTTTGTAACTTCTCAATGTTCTCAACTGAATTAACTGAAACATTTTGAACCTTTTCTCACTTCACACTTCCTGGCAAAGTTTTGCATTAGAGACAAGAAATTCCACTGGGAATTTGGTCCCTTGCTCCTAGCCTGCAGCTCAATTCATCTTAAATAGTTGGAGCATCTTGATATTGTAAAACAATCCTTGGCCTTCGAACAAGTGAGTTATTTTTCTCAGCTGAAAAACATAATCTAAAATTTCCAGTTAGCTCTTTCCTATAGCTATTTTTCTATTTCTAGATAGTTGATATGAAAGAGTGGCCACAGGACTATTTCCTGAATCTCCCCCATTTGCGATTTACCACTTACCTCATGCTGTTTATTTTGCTGTAAAAGATTAGAGGTCACAGGAAATGTGGAAACAATATTGACATGTTTAATTGGTAATGGTGATCACAAAATTAGTTGGGGGAGAGGAACCCCAGAATCATGGTGATAGCACCTCAGCAACTTGGCCAGTTACTTGCTGTTAGCAGCCAGTTAGATTCTCTAGCCCTTAGCTGTTTCATTGGTAAAAAAAAAGAGACTATACTAATATCTATATATTTCCTTTCAGCTCGAAATAAAGTGGCTTAGTCCACTGGGGGCCTTTGATGTGGAGGTGGGAGCCCAGTGGATTGGTGTTGTCTGAATTGGGCCTCTGGGTCCCGGATACTAGTCCTCAGCCCAGGACCCTTTTAGTAGTGATGAGCTCTTTCAACAGAGGACGGCATGTTTGTGAACTTGAAGAGAAGCTTGATGTTCAGTTGCCCTAAGACTGAACATATGCCCTAGCTGCATAAGGTAGGAAATCCCATACCCAGAACGATTTCTCAAGTTGTGAGGAAGGGGTCCCAAATTGTGGCGTCATTTAGAGTGAGTCCCTTTTCCTCTCTGAGTCTGTGTTTCTGCCTCTGTATAAAAGAGAGGGCTGGACAGAATGTGTCCTAAAGTTCTTTTTGGTATTTACATTCTGCAATTCCAGGATGTCCCCACATGAGTCATGGGAAGGAGGCCTTTGTGAATTGACCTGGAGTTGAGAGCAGGAGGTCTCCCAGGCTCCCTATCAACTATTCTTTAATCCTTGCCAGCTTTCTTTCATTGAGGCTTTCCAGGAAAAGATAACATTTTACCATGTTCCCAGACATCATCTACCTACAGGGGCCCATGGATTACCTTGTAATCATGTTCAGTCAGAGGGAGTCCATGAACTAACAAACTTCAGGCCTGTTACTGAGACAGAGAGGCCACATCAGGCCTTCGTACAATGAATGTATGTGTAGAAGTAAAGAACAACACATTGTGCGGTTCTAACTGTAGGTGGTAGAGAATTTCTTCACATTTTATGTCAGCGTGGTGAACATTTATTGAGTATGTGTGTATATCTAGTTTTGAAAATTCTAGCATGAATAAGGTTGGTGAGAGAGAGAGACAATAATTCTAATAAAATTTGCCCAGTCCTTCAGTGGAGACCTGTAAACAACAGGGAAGAAATGTTGACTGGGAGCTGAAAAATGAGTGGTGTTTGACTTTAGCATTAAAATAAGAATAAATGTTAATTAGAAAATCCAGTTTTGCATGCTCAGCTGGTGGGGGGTGTCTACACCAGTGGCAGACTCTAGAAAATGACATTAGATCCTGAAGCAAATGAAACTGAAATAAAAGCACTCCAGTTCTTAGAGGGTCTTGCATGCAGTGCTAATTATATTGGATTAACTTTTGCACTCTTAGATTTCAAGCTAAAGCATGGTTTGTTCATATTTGCATTTTAGAAGTAGAATAATAGTAATCAAGTTTGCATTTGTTTTTATAAATAATAATATGCTAGAGCTGAGTACTATGTGCCTTATTGCATTTAACAAAAAGATATGTTGGGCTAATTTCCAGAGTTGGGAGTTGACATAAATGACCTAGTGTTAGGAGTAGAGGTTAAACGAACTAGTGATAAGAAAGAACTAGGGATGTTATCTAGACAATGGACATTGTAGAGCACTTAGGACTTGAAGAGGGAGGCAAAGAGGTGGGACACACTAGTTAATGAAAAATAAGAGATACCCGGTATTAGGAATCAGTTTCTGTGCAGGAGGAGAGGAGAGGAGACCTCTGAATAGAACAATGCATGTTGTGTAGTTGTCAGTTAAATTGGCATGAACGGAAATCTCAGCAGTTTCTAAAAGTCAGGCAGAAGACTGAGGCCTATTTCTTGGTAGACAACGGTGGTTCTGAGTGACCTGAGCAGAGAGAGACAAAAAATTTTAACTTCAGAATGCAGAATGAATTGTAGGGATGGCCTGGTAGGGATGGAGCAGGTGCAAGCTGCAGTAATCTGCACGTGAACTTATCCTCAGCCTGAAGGTAGAGCTGCAAGAAGGAACTGGTGAAGTTAACAGGATGTGGGAGTTATATAAATATGGGAAATGCAAGGGAGGCGTGAGTTAGAAGTGCATCTGTGCTGTCAAGCTTGAGGGGCAGGGAGAATGATGTTTTTTACAACTGGAATGTGAGGAGAGGTTCTGTTAGGGCATTCCTGCTGGGACATGACAGATTCCACAGCTCAGCCTCATCAGCTTTGGTTCCATGGCCTGTCCGAATCCTTATTGTGGCTCACGGGGGGAACGGGAGATCCCCGGATTTCACACACCCATCTTGCTTCTTGGTCTCGCATGTTGCAGAGAAGGTCACTGAAACACTCTCAGTAACTTGGGGCTACCTGCATTATGCCTGCAATTCACAGGGCATAATTAATGCATTTGGACAAGTTTTACATCAACCTTGTGTTTTGATGCCATTTCTCAAAGACAGGGGAGGCTCCAACTATTTTCTTTCCTGATTTCCACCCTTTTTTAGTAGTTCTGGGTTTCAGCCTTGGCTCAACCACACCCACACTGTGTTACTTTAGGCAAGGTACTTAAGCTCTATGAGTGGCAGTTTCCTCATCTACCAATGAGTACCCTAAGGTAGCACTAGAAGAATTCATTGAGGGTATGACTGTCAAGTGCTGTCCACAGTCAGCACATAGTTGACCTGGAAAAAAGGGAGCAGCAGTTACCTGCTATTAGGGTTTTAGGGAGGGCATGAACAATGCAAATATTAGCCACCCACATGCTTTGGCTTTCTCTGGACACCACACCATTTCCCACTTTTTACTTGGAGGCTTTTTTAATCCACAACCACTTGGAGTCTGAGTTTTCTCACTTGTCCTGTAGGGATCATTGAGATTTTGTGAGGGAGCTTGAATAGTGTCTTGCACAGTGTGTTCTGTTTGTTAGAGTAACAAACACACAAAACAGAAATGAACCAGTCAGCTCTGACAGGCGGTGCTAAATTACACAAATAATTGGTACTAGGATTGATTATTTTGTCACAGGGCTCTTCTCTGCCAATCACCATCTCCAAAAGCCACCCATGGCCAGGACAAATAATGTGACTGAGTTAATTTTGACTGGCCTTTTCCAGGACCCACAGGTACAGAGAGTGTGCTTTGCGCTGTTTCTTCCTGTGTACCTGGCCACGGTGCTGGGCAACGGCCTCATCGTGCTGACGGTCGCCATCAGTAAAAGTCTCAATTCTCCCATGTACTTCTTCCTTAGTTATTTGTCTGTGGTGGAAATCAGTTACTCTTCCACTGTTGTCCCTAAATTCATCACAGACTTACTTGCCAAGATTAAAACCATCTCTCTTGAGGGCTGTCTGACTCAGATATTCTTCTTCCACTTTCTTGGTGTTACTGAGATCCTTTTGCTTGTGATGATGGCCTATGACCGCTATGTGGCCATCTGCAAGCCTCTTCATTACACGACCATAATGAGTCGTCAACTGTGCCATGTGCTGGTGGCTGGCTCCTGGTTTGGGGGCTTTCTTCACTCCATCATTCAGGTCATCATCACCATCCAACTGCCCTTCTGTGGCCCCAATGTGGTGGACCACTACTTCTGTGATCTCCTGCCGTTATTCAAGGTTGCCTGCAAGGACACCTTTGTGGAAGGGGTGAGTGTGTTGGCCAACAGTGGTTTGATTGCTCTGTGCTCCTTTATCATCTTATTGATCTCTTATATCGTCATTCTGGTCCATCTGAGGAACCATTCTGCAGAAGGGCGGCGCAAGGCCCTGTCCACCTGTGCCTCTCACATCACAGTGGTCCTCTTGTTTTTTGGTCCTGCCATCTTCCTCTACATGCGACCATCTTCCACCTTCACCGAGGACAAATTGGTGGCCGTGTTCTATACGGTCATCACCCCCATGCTGAACCCCATCATCTACACACTCAGAAACAAAGAGGTGAAAATCGCCATGAGGAAGTTGTGGGGCAAAAAGACCTCAGGAATGGACTGAAAATGGAAAAGTGATTGAAGATTGTCTGTCTGATTATTCTAAAAATGGTTTTGATTTTAGTGTAGCAGTCAAGATATTCAAGAATAGCAGAAACAAATGTATGGACTTGATGTTACTGTTGCCATGATTCTCTATTGTAACCAAGGACTCCATAATGTCCTGATGTTATGTTTCAATGTTTTGCATTGACTTATTGCCACTAACAATATCATGGGTTTAAGTACTATTAAGGCTGAAATTAAGTGACATGCAAAGGAGAACCTTTTGACAAATGTTATGTAGGTTAAATCACTTCTTTTATGATTCCTCCTTCTTACCTTCTCTCTATTCCTCTCTTCCTTCCTTCTTTACTCCCTTTATTTCTTCCTGTTTTCTTCCATTCTCTTCCCTGCTCTCCTATTTGTTCAACTTCACTAATGATAGCCATCTATATTTCATTAAAAGGGGACTGAAAGATGAATTATCTCAGAGAGCCAGTCTAATCTTCTAATATGGACAAACGTGTCTTTCAGAATGGAAGCCAGCAATTTTTCTGTTTGTTGTTTGTTCTTGGCATATTGTACCTAATATAGAGCATCTGACTGCAAGTACCAGAAACATCCTTAGAGCAATATAATTTCTTGTGACATGTTGACACAAAAGATAGTCAAAACTGTCTGGGCCCTCTCACTATGTACTGTCCATATATTGAAAAAATATCAACATAGGGTAGATTCTATTTAGCCATAGGTAAGAGTTCAAGTCCAACATTTTAACAGAGGAAATTATCTCCAGATATAAATAACTATATAATACATAAAGTTCTTGAAGAACCCAACATTCTCTAAAAGGTAGGGAAATACTAAGCTAAGTGTGTTTCTAGTCCAGACTCTGTCCTTTACTCTGAGTGACTCTGTCAAGTCCATTACTTTAAATCTCTGTTAGTGTTCCATGGTGACATGAGGTGAGTGTGTCTATGTGACTGCTTCGTCACTCTGCACGCCCTCTCTGCCTTATCTCACTGCCACAAATTAGAAATTGTGAACAATTTAGAGAATGTTGAAAATCTGGCCCCTGTTGGGTTTAGAATTCCGCACCCTGGCTTTGCGCCTGCCCTCCATCCTTTCAGCGCCCCCTGGAGCCCAGGTGAGGTGCTGCAGGTAGCCTCCTGCAGAGGGGTGGGGCATCATGGTAGGCTGTGGGCCTCAGGGCTGTGCCTTTTCTCCTGAGTGCTGGCTGAACATGCCGCTGAATGGTGGTTTTAAAGGCACCAGGAAATCTTCCCACTTCTCAGTGGTCCCTGCTAGTCATGGTCCTGGATTGCCAACCATGTGAGAAAATACCATTTCCACGGCCTGGCATGACTTTACCACTCTTTTCCCATGACATATTCTAGATTAAAGACCTAGACTAAAGTCATCTCCCATGTGTGGACTTCTCCTCCTTGGGCAGAACTGGTGTCTCCTGTTCATGGTTACCATGATGTACTTTTACCTTGTGCTTATCACTTTGATTCCGATTACTTTATGTGCTTTTCATTAAGCTGTAAGCCCTCAAGGGCAGGGTTATTACTTAGGCCTTTTTCTTCTTTGTATCCATAAATGTCAGGCATGTAGCTGGGTCCTATCATGTGTGCTGAATAAATAACTTTTAGGCCCAGACACAGTCCTTTGTGTATGAATTCACACTGCTCCTTCCACACACTTTCCTGTGAGGAGCCCACATCTTCTGTTAAAATCGGAAGATCTGGCTCTGAAATGTATTGGAGTGGATCAGTTGCCTCTCAGCCACTCCCCATCATCTGAGATGCTTGTATCTCTCAGTGTCTTCTTTGCATGAATAAACTTTTTTAACAGTAGTGTGAACTGCCTAAAATTGTTTTGAATATTAGTAAGATAATATGCATGCAAAGCTTTTAGAAAAGAAAATGGTATAGAATGGTACCATAGACTCAATATATAATAGCCATGGTCACCATGATTATCATTGCTGGTTATTCATTTTATTTTGTGTGATAATTACATGGGTCTTATTTACATGGGTCTGTCTACACATGGGTCTTATTTTAGTTCTTCTAAGCTGTTCATAATGGACTTTAACTTCACCCAAAAGAGCTTTCCAGCATTTCAGACAGTCTTGTAATTTTGTTTGAGGCTTCTCTGGACTAAATATCCTCTGTGGCTTAATTGCCACAGTGGACATCAGTGATGTCCAATAAATATTTGTCAAGTAGAAGTGGACACTAACATAAACTACCATTTCTTTTTTTTTTAATGAAAGTGCTTATATTTTATTAATATACATTAAAACATTGTTTGAGAATGAAACGCAATGAGGTCACCGTCTCTTTCTTCCCTTTCTCTTGATGCCTTACTGTTATTACTGAGGTGAGCGAGGACCCTAGATTGCAGGCTATGCTGGAACCCATCTGGAAAGAACATCACCAATGGACTCTTATTCACTGGAAATGAAATATATTGATGTTATTGTTAATTTTACAGGCTTATCATTTCCACCAAGAGTGTATAGGAGGGGTTCCTTTTTTGCCACATCCTCATCAACATTTGCCATTTCTGGTCTTTTTAATAATAGCTGTTGCAATGAGCATGAAGTGGTATCTCACTGTGCTTTGGATTTGTGTTGCCCTAATAAAAAACCATGATGAGCCTCATTTCTTATGTCTGTTGGCCATCTCTATGTCTTTAGTGAAATGTCTATTTAGAGTCGCTGTGTTTTTAAAAACAATTGGCTTTTTTGTTATTGACTGATATGAATTTTTAAAAATAAATTTTGGACATACATCCCTTATCAGACTTGCAAATATCTTCTCCCATTCGGCTGGTTGCCTTTTTGTTTGGATTTGAATTCTTTCACGGTGTGGAAGCTTTTTAATTAGAAATCGTCCCATTTGTCCATTTTTGCTTTTGTTTCCTTTGCTGTTAGAATAGAATTCCACAGACGATTCTAAGGCCTATACAGATGAGTTCATTACCTATGCTTTCTTCTGTGTACTTTATGGTTTTAGGTCTTACATTCAAGTCTTTATCATTTTAATTTCATTTTTGTCTATGGTGGAGTATAGCAGTCAAATTTTGTGCTTTTGCATGTATTGATAGTTGCAGTTTTCCCAGCACTATTCACTGAAGAGACTTTCTTTACTCCATTGCAGGTTTTGTTTCCTTTGTCACATTGATATAGGTTGATTACTGAGCTCTCACTTCTGCTCCATTGAGCTCTGTGTCTATTTTTATTCTAATATCAGACTCTTTTGATTACTGTCACATTGCAACAAAACTTGAAGTGATGGCATGTAATACTATATTTGCAATATTTGTTCTTTTTTCTCAGAATTGTTTTGACCATTCATGATAGGGGTGAGCACAGAGTTGGTTCTGAGAGCCTCTTCAGGGTGCCTATGATGGGGCAGAGGGATGATGTGGCATGGATTCTCCTCCATCGCTTGCTTGTGAATGCAGAAGAAAACCTCAAGGGGCTAGGACGAGAGGGGACTAGTTATGAGGGACAAGAAGAAGCCCTGCCTTTATAATTGGATTAATTAGAGAAAGGTTCCTTAGCCTCTGAATGAAGCAACTGGGAAGTTGACTTCTGTTCTTCTCAGAAACTCCCTAGACAGCTATGTTAGAAAAGTTCAGGGAATTCAATTCTCTGATCTCAACTTTCCATCTCATACTCCTTAAATGCTAGTGTCTTCTTTGTCCAACAAATATTTTCTTTAATCTTCCCTTTAGGCTTTGGGGTAGACTGGCCTCGTAATATTCCTCTGTAACTTTCTTGGTGGAAGCCATTAAGTGCTGGATCGGTATCTGGAGCTAGCCCTGACGACGCCTGGTCAGTGCCTTGGGGGCGAGCAGCATTAAGGGGTGTCTTGAGGCAGTAACATAGCTAGGTCAGCTCATTCACTGAAACTTCACCAGGCCCCGGCAGCCCCTCTGGCTGAGCATGTCCAACACATTGACGCTGCGCATTTGGGTGGCTCTGGCTTCCACACTTGGAGAGCTTTTTTTTTTTTTTTTAGCAGTGCTCATTCTTTCAACAAATGGAACAGGTCTAGGTATTACCCCATCAAAGCCTCTCCTGTGATGCATGAGAAAGTAGCTCTGGCTTGGCTCGCAGCCATTTCACCACAGCCACTTGTAACATGGCTAGTGTTGAATTCTTTGCAAAGCCAGTTTCTAATCAATTGCTCAGTCATGCATTTTCCAGAAATACTCTTAAAAAATTCAAGGGACTGCCTACCAACTGACCCCTGATCTTCTCTGGCTGGAATAAAAGATTTTGCCTCATTTGAGCCTGAATGGAGATTTGGCTACACAAAAACATGAGTTTTGCTGAACCAAGATATCTAAGTTTTCGATCCACGAATGCTAATATACTCTTTAATTTCTCTAATAACTTTATCTTCAGATTTTATTAGTGAAACAAATCTGTTTGCCTGGGTGACTTGTGCCAGTGATTTGATTTTCTGATTGCGGAAGATTCAGAAGATAAGAATCAAGGAACAAACAATATTCAAGGTGGGTTCCTTCATGTAAGCTCCGTGGGGGCATGCTTTGACTTACTTGGTTTATACTAGGTATCCCCTCATATACTTTATCCTCAGTGCTGTTTACAGACACTGGCTGTGATAACTTAGCTTTGAAATAGGTGTAATAGCAGAAGAGGATTCTGGATTCAAACCCAAACACTCATTAAAATCTACTGAGATCGTCACACTGTGCAGGGTGCTACAGTGTCTAGGAGACATTCTGAATGCTTAACGGGTCATGTTCTCTTCTGCTGGAGATATATGATGTGCTTATGCTGTGCTAATACGAAACAGGCAGAGAATCATTTCAGTCTTAGCAACAAAGGGCTAGAGCGAAGATTATACGTCTTCTAGGATATCTTGCAAAGGCTTCCTCCCCTGGCTGCCCAGTGTGGCTGACGCCTGAGATAGCCTCTCTTCACGGCCCGTAAACTCTACACTGGCTGCATGGACATTACATCTCAGGAAGGTAAAT